GGGGGGGGGGGGTTGTCACTAGCTGCGGGGAAGCCATTGGCCTGGAGTGCATCCCGCGTCTCCGGGAAGGTGAAAGGAGGCCTTTGTTGGGGGAGAAACCCTCTGGATGTCTTGCCCAGGGTCAGAAAGGGAATACAGCAGCCTGGCGTGGTGGGGGCGGGGGGGGGGAGGGTCTTCCAGGCCTCCCCTTTGCCATCCCACCCCACAGTACAGCTGATGCAAGCAAGCAAGCCAGCCAGGGGGCCAAGGGAGCCTCTTTTCCGGAGCGGCGCACCATGTGCAGAATGGGACACACTGGGGGCAGACTTGATTCCTCCAGATCTGGGTGGGAATCCGAGGGAGCCCCACTTGGCGGTTTCCGGGGCCCAGAGCAGCCCCCAGGGACCCTCCCCTCACCCGACCTGCCCACCTACCAGCAGAAGGGTCTCCAGGAGCATCTGCCGGATGTCAGCTTCCGGCTCCCGCTGCTTCTCGGCTGGCAAGTACTGCAGATCCAGGGGCAGCCCTGGGGGGGGGGGGGGGGGGGGGGGGGGGGGGGGGCTCAGTCCAGGCAGACCCCCAAGCGTCCGTGTTCCTGCACCCCCCCCCTCCCGCAGGAGGCACCCACTTTCCATCTCGTCCTCCGGGAACTCCTCGGGGCCGGCCAAGGGCAGGAGAAGGAAGGGCAGGAGGTCCACTTGCTCGCTCAGCAGCCACTCGTGGTGCCCTGGAAGGCAGAAGACGCCCGTGACCCCGAGGCCGGACCGGCGCCCCGCCCCCCCCCCCCGCCCAGAGCCGAAGCGGGGCCGGCGACACTCACGGGGGTCGAAGCAGCAGTTCCGCAGCGTCCCGGCCACGCCGCGCCGCCGGGCCGCCGAGCCCGCGTCCTGCGTGAAGGGCAGCAGCCTCCGCACGGCGCCCCTGCGGGAAGAGCCGCTCAGCGCCGCGCCTGGCGGGTCCGGCCCCCCCCCCCGGCCCCCGCCCTCCCGGCCCCTCACCCGGAGCGCTCCAGCAGGGCGTCGCGGGCCTCCGGCAGCTGGCTCAGGTTGCCCAGCAGCGCGCCCAGCTGGTGCCAGGGCGCCCCCGGCCGCGGGTCCTGGGCGCAGAAGGCCTCCAGCAGCGGCCCCAGCCCCGCCCCGCCGCCGCCCCGCCGCCGCAGCTCGGCCAGCAGCTCCCGGCAGGGCCCCTCCTCGCGCGAGCAGTTGGCCAGGAGCGCGCAGGCCAGGCCGGGCAGCGGGAAGGCGGGGTCGAGCAGGCGGCGCAGCAGGTCCGGCAGCCCCGCCCGCAGCGCCCCGCCCGCCCCCGGCTCCGCCGCCAGGTTGAGCAGCGCGTGGAAGGCCGGCTCGGCCAGCTCCGGCCTCGGCTCGCCGGTCAGCGCCAGCAGCGCCGCCAGGAGGTCCGGCCGGGCCAGCAGGAGGCGGCGGCCCTCGGCGCCCCCCGTCAGCCCCAGCACGAAGCGCAGCGCGCGGCCCTTCAGGTCCCCGCGGGCCTCGGGCCGGAGGAAGCCCAGCAGCTCCTGCGCCTGCCGCTCGTCCATGCTGCGCGGCGGCCGCCGCCGCTTCCGCGATCGCCCCGCTCCGCCAATCCGCGCCCGGGGCTGGAGCGCGAGCGGGCCCGAAGAGCGCCGGAGCCAATGGGAAGCGGCCTTCTGGAGCAGCGCCTCTCGGGAGTTGGAGTCCGGCCGCATCCCCGGCGGGAGTTCCGCGGAGGCCCCGCCTGCCCGCTTTCCCGGGCGGATGCCCAGAGGAGCCCGCCTCGCTCCCGCTGAAACAGGCCTCTCCGACCTGGCTGGGGAATTCTGGGAGTTGAAGTCCGCCAGGCTTAAAGTGGCCAAGGCTGGAGAGCCCTGGCTGCAACCTCTGCCTGTCCAGCCAAGACTTCCTTGGCCGCTGGGAGGCTGCTTCAAGCCAAGACCACCCATTCAATGTTGGCTTCCATTCATTCGCCTTCCTTCCCAAATGTGATATACACCCATTAAATGCAAAGGGCTTAAGGTGCCCTTTGAGGAAAACTTCGTTAGGAAGCTGAATTGGTCCCAACTGGCACCAGGAGGGAACCAATGGCCCAGCAAACCATCATATTCCTGGTTGTATGAGAGATTGTGAAGCTAGCACGCTGGCCTCGGAGGGGTCGAAGGTCACCAGGTGGATTATCAAAAGCTTTACCAACTGTCCCCTTGTTACCTCCGTACCCTCCGGTTCTGCTTCTGCTCAGGATCGCCCAACCCAGCTTATGAAATAGCCTTTTAATCCAGTGAGTTGTTTTATTATCCTATTATTTATATACCATTTACAAGTTGACAGTCCTTGTCTTGAGTTTTAGAAACAACCTTTTGGTTGTTTTTTTAAATAGTAATTGTGCAAAGTAACCCTAATAAAGATGAACACTGAAACAACAGATATAAGAGCAAAATAACAAGCGCTGTGGAAGAAATCCACTGTAGGCCACTGAATACTGTAAGCCCACAAGCAGAGGGGGGGGGGGAAAGCTTCCCTAATTGCTTACAGGAAAAAAATGGTTTCTATTTGTAGTTTAAAAGTTCAGAGGAACTTTTCCCTTTTCCAACTGTAACAATCACCATAATCTGCATTTAATGCTTCTCAACCACGGCAGCTTAAGGCATGTGGTCAACTTGAAGACGTGGGACTTCAATGCATGCTGGCTGGAGAATTCTGGGGATTGGAAGTCCACTTATATGAACATGATCTTCCAAAGGCTAATCTAGGCCAGGGGTCTCCAGCCTCGGCCACTTTAAGCCTCGCGGACTTCAACTCCCAGAATTCCCCAGCCAGCTTTGCCTAGAGAATTCCCAGAACTACTGTAGAGAATTCCGTGGAACGGACAATTCTGCAGGTTGCCCAGCGATGGTTGAAGCGTTTCCCCTCCTCCTTCAGCAGCTGTGGGCAGGAGGGGGGGCTGGGGCTTCGAAGGCCTCTTCCCTTGCTTGTAACGCCACCGGCAGGCGATTCCGCCCCCCAATGCCCCCCGTTTCTAGCTCTGCCCCGCTAAGCTCCCGGCGATGGGGATGGTCCCCCGACTTTGGCTCCCTCCTTCAAGAGCTGCATTTCAAGGCCAAAGCTCCGAAGAGGAAAGAGGAGGAGGAGGAGAGGAGCGAAGGCCACGTTGTCCTGAAGAGCTCCGTCTCAAAGCAAATGGGGCCGAGTCTTCTCGGGTGGGAGATCCGCCTCTTCTTCCTTCACGGTGACGCTTGGAGGCTTCCTGCATCCTCCCTGTTGGGCTCCGGCCCAGAGGAGGCCTGGCGTGGTTAGGAGAAGGGAAGATGATGAGGCCTCTGGCCTGCCTGCCCGGGTGGCCAGTTCCAGAACCAAGAGCTTCCCTCCCTGCCCGTCTCCCTCCTCACGAAACTCCCCCCCCCCCCCCCACAAACGGAGCAGGGGGTGGGCCTGGGAGGCGGAGGAGCCTTTCCTGCCCAGCCGCCTCGTCCAGGGCCAGGGGAGGCCAAGAGGCCAAGCCTGCGGCCACCCACCCCTCTGCACTCTGGAGGGGCCCTTCTCCTCAGGCCAGGAAGAAGAGCGGCCAATTCCCCAAAGGCAGCTGCTCGCCGGCCAGGCAGAGCTAACAGCTCCTCAAAAGCTACTGTACCTGCAGCACGGGGCGCCGCCAGTGGCTCACCGCCAGGGGTCTCGGCCATCTAAAAATGTGAGATCAGCACCGGAGTTTGAAGAACCAAGAGAGCCCCCGGCCCAACCCTTCCGGTCAAAGCTCCTCTGTCCGGCTGCTTCCGCCCCCTCCCAGCCGGCTGCTCTCTCCAACAGCCCCCTCACCCCCAATGGTGGACCCTGCCGGCCAGGCTGGGCTCCCCGAACTGCCCTCAGCCTTTGGCCACCCCGCCTGGCTTGCCAGGCAGATGCCACTTGGCACTAGTTGGCCCCAGCAGTCAGAGGCATTTCTCTTAGGGGCTTCCCCCAACGCCCCCCCTCCCCCCCACCAGCCAGCCAGCCAGCCTGCGTTGAAGGTCAGTTCTCCCCCAATCTCGCCACAATCAAGAAAGGAGCGGAGGAGAGCTGGGTGGGGGGGGGGTTAGCAAAAGAGATGCCAAACTCCAGTCACCCTCCCCCCCACTCCATTTATTTCCTCTGCTTTTCCAGAAATGAATCAGCTTGAAGAGCTTCCCCCC